AAAAAACATCGTGTCCTCTTTGAAGTGGCACTATATACATACCATTCGCAAGGCATGTCAGCGTTTCTCCTTTCACACTTTAGAACCTCACAGGCACCAAAACACTCAAAGGAACGTGAAAAAACGGCAGCATATCCACGGGGTGAATGATGGAGAGTGGGGCGAAGCATGCGTCCATCCATTCGTTTTTGCTTCCGTCTGTCTGTGCATTCGTCTGTGTGACCGTCCGTGCATCCATCTGCCCGTCCGTGTGTGCATCTGTTCGCGCGTCCGCAAGTCCATCCATGCGTCCATCCCTGCGTTCATCCATGCATCCACCCCTGCGTCCGTCCATGCGTCCATCCGTCCATGCATCTGTGTGTGTGTCCGTTCGTTCATCCAGTCAACACTCCAAGTACCACGATCTCGCATCTTTTCATTATATATTCCTCGTATAGAAGCACCGCCATCCAGCGGACGTTCCAAGGACGAAACTAAAGGTGGCACACGCACTTTCTGACGGCTTGCGCTTCGTGTCTACTTCTCACCTTTAACCACCTCGTGTTTATGGTATATACTAGTTCACTGTATTCATGGCACGGCGGCCCAACGCTCGCTAAACCTTTTTAAAACCAAAGAGGTTACGCCCAGCGAGCATAACGTAGCAACCCTTTCTTGTCAGATAGTGCTCGATATACATGCTAATGGCTGCTAATGAGGAATGAGAGACAGGAAAATTCGGCTTTTAGTTAACGCGCACGCTGCGAATTTTTTAATATTCAACAACACACAGGAAAAATCTCCCCCTGACACCAACTTGCAGGTCAAAACATAAGACTGGTTACGCACTACGACTATATACGACGAGGGATGAACGGGTGCCGCTTTAAGGAGCTTCGCCCCTAAAACACGAGCAGCTGAACCACGAAGGGGTGCCCATTACTGAAGACTCGCCGGGGAACGCTAGCTAGTTCAGCGGACGCGTGATGAACGCGCAATCATCCGGAGTATCGAAACCATTTGCCGCTTGTCGACACCGCCCTACCTGCTGACGTGGGGCGAGTGGAAAAGATTCATTTTCTCAGCCCTCCATTTTTTCGTGTGTATTTATGTTGTTTTTCGTGTGTAAATCCCAAACAATTGCGGTGTATTCCAGCTTCGGTCTTATAGTTGTTTTGCCTCAGCTGGTGTTTGCAATAACTGATGTCTGAGAAGTCAGAGTTTTGGGAAAGAGGATGCACAAATGTTCGATATGTGTGAGTTCCATTTCACCGTATGTGTTATAGTTAGACCTAGATTTTGGAGTCTGTAACTTCAACAGGTGGAATTGATTCGAGCGAGTATGGAAAGGTAAGACCATGGTTTTTCCTTGTTATTTTCTTGAACAGTTTTCTGGGCGTTAAATTGATGTCCCATCGATCAGATCATTTATGAATTATTTGCAAGTTAGGATTAAGAGTACTTGGTCTTCAGAGCACTTCCCTTTATTAAATATCACACGATCATCAGAAAAATGTGGAATACAAATCGGTTCACAAATTTCATCAACGATGTCATTTATGTATATGGAAAACAACAAGGAAACCAGCACATTTTTTTGTGGTACACCCAATGTTACAGGGAACTTCCACGAACAATGGCCATCGACACTTACAAACTGTACTCTGTCACTTGAATATGCTGTAACAGAAGAAACTATGAAACCCAATAAGTCTACAGCTTGAAGCATCAAAATTAGTTTTGCATGGCGTACAAGGTCAAAAGCCTTTTTAATCGAGGAAAACAAGGTCAACTTGTCCCGACTTGTCTAGAACCGAGGCGAGGCAATGTATGATTGTTCTACACTGGGTCACTGTAGACAGCCTCTTTATAAAGCCATTCTGAAACGGGGTTATTGTAATAATGCCAGTTAAGAACTTGTTTATGTAATTTGCCATAATATGCTCCAGCATTTTGCAACTCGACGATGTCAGTGACATTGGTCGATAGTTTGTTGATAACATGCTGTCTCCTTCTTTTAAAGACTGAAATGATTCTAGCTGTTTTCCGGTCAATAGAAATTTTAGCTGATGACAGGTAAACATGGAAAATAACAACTAGGAATTTCGCAAGCACTTCGGCATACCGACGAAGAAAGGCGTTCGGTATGTTATTAGGCCCAGGTGATGACTTTGTCTTTAAATTTAAAAGGATGGAAACAACACCGGCCTCTGAAATAGGGGTGGAATCTCCATGCTTGTTGTTATGGCTCTGATGTTACTGTTCAGTCTGACTGAAAAAAAAACACTATTAAAGTAATCACTGAACATTTCAACTATGCTACATTTATCATCGATTCGTACGCCGTCACACATGATTCGATCTACTGCCTTTTTCTGTGAAGAAAGGTATCGCCAATACTTCTCAGGAAAAGTTTTAATAAAATTTGAAGTTTGTGGCTGAATTATAATGTTTAGCATTATAAATTGCCTCGTTCAACTTTAATAGGATGACTTGAACTGCGTGAGCGTTTTCTTCAGCTCACTTTATCCTTTTATACTTTCTTTTGAGACCTAAAGTATCTCTTCGTGTCAACTGATTATTTTGTGGTGTTTTATTATTTTATTCGACACAAAATTATGAAGGCAGAACGCGCATAGGCTCCTATATGAGTTCCACAGTACATCTACACCATATTCCCGATAGTTGTCTAGGCTGTGAAGTAAATAATCCACAATACTTTCATCTCTGGCACGAGAAACGTCTTCAATGGTAACGGGAGTGCTAATTGTTTTTATACCTCAAAGTAACACGTAAGACACGCCATGCGGTGGTCAGAGATACCTTCTTCTAAGATATATTGTAATTTTCAAGCGAACTGCTAATGAATACAAGATCCAATAAAGAAACAGTATTATTTTGAATGCGAGTTGGTTGATTTACAATCTGGTGAACGTCCCCATTAAGCATTATGTGGGCCACGTAGTCAACATGGTCACGGGTAGCACTATTTGAGTATGGATGATTCCAATCAATGTTTGAAAGATTGAAATCGCCTGTTATATTGACTCTGTTATCTCGAAAGCGCGCGACATGATCACAGACGATGCCAAAATTCATGAGTTGAATCGGGTGCCCGATAATCCGCAATTAGAACTATAAAGCGTTCTTTACATGATAACTTCAGCGTAATACCTTCGTGATTATCAACCTGGAGCGTAAGCAAAGCCGGTATATTTATTTTCACAAGTGCGGCAACTCCCCGCTCCATCTGCCCTTTCGAAAACGTATGGGGGAAATACACTTGCATCATCGATATCACCATTTTTCAGTAACTGGGGGCATAACGCAAAAGGATCAATTCGAGCGGCGTAGTTTTGTTTCCAACTCTGCGCGCCTTTATATTGAGGAGCCGAAGCTCATAGTATTCACACTGGTGAAGTCACTTTTTGAAGAACCTTTGTTCTCGGTTTGGCGCTCTTATTCGACGGTTGTTGCTATCATCTCAATAATACACATCACCATCGAGTGGCAGTTCATTGTATGAAAGGGTGCTTTCGGCCTTGTTCCTTTTCGCTTTTGGCACTGTTCCACAACAACTTCCGTTTCCTCAGTGTATGAAGTGACTACTCATTCTGTATGGCTATTTTCATTCCTTTGAGTTTGTGTGCGTTTTTAAGAACAAGTTCTCTTTCATTATAATCCTAAAAGTACACTATCACGGGTCTTTGTTTACCGGGTTTACCGATAAGATGGATCCGGCCCAGTGTATTGCCTGAGGTATTCAACTTTTCGCAGAATATCTCTGTAATGACTTTCTGTTTTAGATATTGATCTGTCTCTTTTGGATTTTCTGGTACGCCAAAGACAACGAGGTTAGAACGTCTGCTTCTGTCTTCGAGGTCAACCACGTCTAATTAAGGAAACTAACAGATTTTTCCCGTTTGTCAATGCGGGAAGTTCTTTCCAACTCAGTGAACCGGTGGTTACAGTCTGTAAACAAGTCCTGCAAACTGGTCTGCTGGTTTCTCAGTGCTGCTACTTCGAATAAAGATGTGTTCTGGCCTTCAAGCAACTCTTTTAGCATCTCCTGGTTAGTTAGGCCGGGATTTGACTGCACATTCACGCACAAAAGTAGCATGCACACGCAAAACATCTCGCGAGCAATTTCAATGCACATTGAGGGGGACGGCAAGACGAAAAGGCTAAGAAAGTCACTCTTAATATTACAATAAGTTTCGCCAACCTGCGTGAAGCAAAAAAGGTGCCCGTATGGCAACATGCCAAGGGTTGATCTGCCGTCTACATTGAAGTGAAAATTCTGCGCTGCGCCATTTATAGGTAGTCGATGTGACATGTAGATCCCAGGTGGTGACGAAGCACTACCTGGGATACTGTAATATTTAAGGCCTGCCTGCATGGCTCAACTGGGACCAGCGGCGTAGCCCGGAAGGAATTGGGAAGGGAATGTGAAATAGGCCGCGAGTATGTGTTTTATTTCTACCCTTTGAGTTTGTCATAATCCAGTGAAAAAACAAAACTTGGCAAAATTATTCTATTTTATTCGTGTGCAAAGCCCTTCGAGAATTGAGATATATAAATAGGTCAGTATTTTATACAGTTACATCATTTTGTGAACTTGCCGCGAATACCATTTTATTGAATGTATATAGTCGAAAAGCGACTTTTGAGAAAAAATTATTCTTTGACGCCCCCTAGCTCATACGACACATAATTACCCTCTCTCATTATAGGCAGTCAAATTTTTTGGAGCAGATTTGAACGAGCAGAACGAGTTTTGAGCTTAGAGAAATAAATGGGAAGTGTTTCAGCCATATTCATTATGGTCGGAAAAATGCTGGTTGCTTTGGCATGAAATGACCCTCTTGTGCTCCATTTCTCATTTTGACGTCGCATATCCAGTGTTTGTTGAGTTCCTGTAACTTGTTGTCATTGCGGCTATATCCGTAACTTGTTTGTAAACCCTCCCAATGCGTCCAGTATAACCAAATAAAAAGGAAATAAATAATACTAATGATTACCATTTGACAAGTTGTGGTGACCTTCGCTGGCATGGTGAGTGTGGCTGCTCATGGCATCGTCGACGATCGTGCTGAACCATGCGTGGAGCGATGTTGCGATAAGGTGCATCACGCCGAACCTTGCGACTTCCTTGAATCTATTGATCACAATCTGTACGGTGAAAAAAAAAAAGAGGCACGGTCTGAATGGTGACGCTTTCTTAAAGACAACAGTAGTTGCGATGGGCACTCAAAGCAGTGACTACAGCTAGGTGGCTTGGTTGTTTATTACTTGGTATTGCTACGTACATTGTAGGGAAATACAGCAATGGGAAAGCAGCCACAGCATATCTGCGGACAAGAACTAGTTAAAAAAAATAACAACCAATCATACCCGCCAGTAGCCACTGGGCTGTTACGCTATTCCATTTCACCATTGTAGAGGTGCCTTAAGTGAGACTCCGGTTACGCTTGGTAGCAATATTTGTGTGTAAAGGTAGGCCCTGTAAAGTGTGTTCCGCCGAATAGCGGCTGGAGTATAGGGAATCGTGGAAACTTTATGTTGAAGAGGATTCAGACACGTTATACCTCACAATATCAATGCACAAGAAAGGTAAACAAGCGTCAACATTTTGCCGACGCACAATAACGGAGACGTGCTATAGAGCGATCTGACTTTTTTCAAGAGTATACAAAACATTGACGAATGTTTTTTCCAATCGCACAAGAGCCCCACTTAACCCGTTAGTAACAAGTGCTGGGTTTAACGCCGCAAAACCACCATATGATTATTAGAGACGCCTATAGTGGAGCGCTCCAGAAATTTAGGCCAGTTAGGGTTCTTGAACGCACGCCTAAACATAATAACACAGCCCTCAATCATTCTCGCTTCCGTCGAAATTGCGGCCGCTAATTGATCTTGCGACTTGTGGATCAGCCACCGAGTGTCTCAGCCACTAGACCGTGGTTGGTCCCTTTCAACCTTAATCAACCTAGGTGAAAAGATGGCTTCAAGGATGGGTATTATATTATGGGTAATATTCAACGGCCAATCTAATCACTCAAAAATCTGTCGAATACGAAAGAGTCAGTACATGGCATTCATATCATGGCATTCATAACGCGTTCGATGCTCGAACGCGTTATTCGAAGGTCGTAGGTTCGATTCCTGCTCACGGCTGGTTATTTTTTCAACCCCTTTTCTTTCTTCTTATTTACATTCCATTGGTTCTAATAACTTCCCCTGTACATTCCTTGGCATTACTGTCTGTTATATCCCGGCTGCGGCGGCTGCATTTCCGATGGAGGCGGAAATGTCGTAGGCCCGTGTGCTCAGATTTGGGTGCACGTTAAAGAACCCCAGGTGGTCGAAATTTCCGGAGCCCTCCACTACGGCGTCTCTCATAATCATATGGTGGTTTTGAACGTTAAACCCCACATATCAATCAACTGTCTGTTATATCTCATATATATATATATATATATATATATATATATATATATATATATATATATATATATATATATATATATATATATATATATATATATATATATGTGTGTGTGTGTGTGTGTGTGTGTGTGTGTCTTGAGTGCCTCATGGCTCCTTAATCTACTAGAAGTTTACGAATTCACCTAAAGATGAAACAACACCTTGTGATAGATGAAGCAACCTTTGTTTATCAAACAGAAAGCAAAGATGAACGTCTGTTTTCGGGGGGAAAAGTGCATTCAGGGTTGAACAGACCTACTCACGTTCGAGTACTTGAAAATGATGAACAGCTGGTAAAAAGAATACACAGGCCTCAGCGAGTGGAGAAGGATGCTGATGATGTCTCTGCAGTTTTCAGGGTCTCTGTTCCAGTCGATCACGTGTTTTGAAAGCATTAAGCCTTCGTGGATAATGTGCCCGGAACAAAACACTGCAACAAAAGAAAATTTTCGTATTACACCCACACACGCACGCCTCATATGAACTGGTTCACATACGAAAGTTTGAGCTCACGCACGTGGCCATGTGCCTCACCTCAAGGCCCTGCGCTCTCTTCGTCGGCCTTCAAGTTTCACTGCCACCTGAATGCTGCTTGTCACCGTGCATAGTAATTTCTCCCTCACCGTTCAATGGGAGCAGGCTTTCTCACTGTTTCATGAAGTCTACCAGTTTATTATTTCTTTACGTGCTTGATTTGTATGTGTGTGTGCGCGCATTTGAGTGTGTGTGTGTGTGTGTGTGTGTGTGTGTGTGTGTGTGTGTGTGTGTGTGTGTGTGTGTGTGTGTGTGTGTGTGTGTGTGTGTGTGTTCTATGCGCCTATCCTTAAGGTGCGTTCTAGCCTGCAAACACCTTGACAGTTTGGTGGGAACGCCTGCGTTTTCAGTTCTTGCATCGTTAAAACTTCGCCGTTATTCTCACTGCAATGTCACCGTTCCTGCAGAAACAACGCGAAATGACTGGTCCCAAAGTACACGCCCATGATGATGCGTTAATTCTGTCGTCATTGTGTTATTAGGCCTGCTTTCGCCATTTGGCTAAGCAATGACAGCTGATCAGCCTGATGTTCACCACAAGTCAGGGGCATTGGCATACATATTTAGGGGCGGAGCTCTTAAAGCCGTGGGTCTGTCGCTTCAAGCTCGTACGTGACCACCTAGTTCAATGACTCACTCAGCAGGTGCGAACGAATGGACGGACGCACAGACAGACAGACAGACAGACAGACAGACAGACAGACAGACAGACAGACAGACAGACGGACGGACGGACGGACAGACAGACGGACAGACAGACGGACGGACGCTTCACGGTTTACTTATAAGACCCTCCTAAGCTTCGTCCCTCATCATTCAATCCGTAAATGTGCTTTGATCTTTTTTTTTTCGGGTGAGGGGGGGGGGGTAGGGCAGTTTATAACTTTGTGCCCCATGGCAGAGAAAAAATTCACCGAGAGGGGGCGGGGGCGGTCATTAGTTCTTTGCGCCACCTTTGGCTACGCCACCAGGGTTGCCACTGACTTAATTTTCGGTGAAGTTCACCAAATCTCAAGCAAAAAGTCGCGAAAAGTCGCCGTTTTCCTTCACATTTTGCCAAAAAGTCGCAACTCAACATAAATGTGGCTGTCCTGGTAATCAAGACAAATAATTGTGCACAGCCCCTGAAGTACAACATCATCCGTAATCCTATATATTGAGTGAGTGAGTATGAACTTTATGGAGGTCCTGGGGAAAGAAAGCGGTGCTGAAAGCCCCGAGCTTTTTAATGCCAGTCGAATCACCCACTTTACCACGGGAGGGCTCACTAGGCTTAGAGTTTCATCACCTACTCCATCATGGGAGCACAGAGAAAGGGCATCCATGCACCAGTAGGGTCCTGAAGACTAGCGCCTCATGACAAAAGTTTGCGATTGTTTCAGCTGTATAGAATACAGGGCAAAACAGTCTCTACATCTAGCGAGGGATGGCGTTTGAGACCTTTCTGCTGATTTTAGAGAATGTTATTGCAGTGCTATAACGTGTCCGATAATAAAACAACCTAATTATAAAACAACAGAAATTAATTCGAAAGGACGGCGTCACCGGGAAAATGCCCGCACCCAGCTTTCTTTGTAGTCATTTTTACGTTGCATAATCGCCTGAGTGCCGTTTCTGAAGGCTGCACAAAGAAATTAACTTTTGGCTGGTCCAAAAATACGTTAACAACTTTAACCTCTGCAATGCTATTAGGGTCATCGACTCTGATGGCCGAGAGTTAGCGTCGGCCACAGTCAAGGCACGCGACTCAGACGCAGCGGAAGAAGCGGCAATCACTCTCGCTACCACCACATGTAAAGACGCCGCGGTGACTTTCATTGACTCGTAAGCCGCTTGCCGCAATTGTGTAAAAGGCGGCGTCTCAGTCGACGCAATTAACATCCTGCAACGGCAAAACTCTCCACTTCCATATTTCTGCGTTATCTGGGTTCCTGGACACGAGGGTCTACAAGGAAATGAAGCTACTCACACCGCTGCCCGCGAGCACGTCAGCCGGGCTGGCTGCTTTGGGACCAAATGATACCAGATCCGTGGCTGCAGAGATGGAGGTAATAGAAAACACCTACTCGTCGCAAATTCAATACCACAATCTGGAGCGACGGGTGTACCCTCCACCCCATCCAAGATTAACCAAAGAGGAGAGAGTGATTTTCAGACGCCTACAAGGCAACTTACATACATGTCATATTATTGCACCGCCTCTACGTAAGGACACATGGCTACATGTGCCCACTCCGCTGCGTACCACACACCTTGGCATACTTGCTCCTGGAATGCCAGTGCCATGCAAACTACGACGTGCAACTGGAGCGGAACCAAGCCCCAAGAATAAACGACGACCACCTATTGGAAACGTGGGAGGCAGAGCTCGTCCTCGAGGACCTGGAAGACCAGCGACAACTCGTCGCCAGGGCTAAGAGGCAGTCAAAGCCAGAGGGTTCCTGGACTAGGGAGCCCTCCCACCTTAAGGTGACACCGGGCCTTGCTCAGAACAGTTTTCTAAATAAGCGTTTATTTCTCTCTCTCTCTCTCTGCCAAATCATTTAGCACACCATAGTGCATAAGTCGACAAGCTATCGAGGACAGTTAGGGGTTTCGTCGCAACACGCGGCCTAACCATCACCGCTTGAAGAAACACTTTGAAGAAGCTCTGAAAACACGTAAAAATATTATGCCACCACTTCGCGGCACGTGAAGCACTCCGTTGACGTAAATTTTGCTGGGAGGTTGTTGGCAGCCGCACCAGTGAGCCAATGCCTCAAGGACACAGTTGAATTGAGAAACAGGGCAGACCTACAGAATCGCGCGTAAAGTGCGTCTTCTAATAAGGGCTCTGAACTTATGAAAAATTGAAAAAAATCTTCTTTTCCCCTTATTTCGAAGACACTGAATAAAGAATGCATAACTATGCCTAGCCCTAAGCCAAAAAATTGCCAAAGAAATCGTCATGTCACCATTCATAATTTTAGGTCACTACGGTTCTCCTAAATTTGCCAATTTCGTGAAAAGTAGCCACCAGTGGCAACCGTGTACAACACTGCCATAGCCAGAATGGTTCTAACTCCACATTATGCGAGGTTTTCTTACAGTTATATTTTTACTTGAAGGAGCAGCGGCAGTACCTTGACGCATGTCGGGTTCTTCGCGTCAACGTGTAGTTATCGATGACAGCCAGTTCGGCATGTTGGTATAAGTTCATGATGAAGCGAGCGGCCAAAAGTACGAACACTCGGAAAGGACATAAAGACGACCGCCTAAGAGTAACTTAAAATTCTTATTTCCAAACGAAAGGGGTCCTCCCTTCGTCAGGGGATGAGTTATACTAACATAGACGTTCAAACTTCATTGCTGCCACGTCCCTCTCGCCTTGAAAGATGTTTGCGAGAGAGAAAAACTAAAAAAAAAACGCTGTGAACGCTGAGCACGAAACCAGCTTGTGCACATCCAAATGTCGGTGTAAGTCCACATCCTGTTCACATCGTGTACTGGCCAGTTCTCGACGTAGTCCGGCCACCTAAGATTGTCGCCGCGGTAGCGGGAGGAGTTCGCGACGGCGTGCATAAGGAAAGTTTCCCCTTAATGGGCCGGTCGGCTCTTGACCTTTGATCTGCTAGTACGAAGAGCTGACCAACCCGTTAAGGGGAAACTTGTGACGATGTCATATCTCACGTATGTTTTTATTTCACCTTGCACGTATTTCCCAAATGCATTCGTATTTATCCTCTGTGACGTGTGACTCACTATTTTACATACTTCATGTGCACCCGTGGGCACACACTGTGCTGAAGGCTGTGTGCGCTGGCGTCTGCGATGCTTGTCATCCTCTTTCATCAGAGCAGCTTCAGAAGAACTATACGGGATATGAAGGTAAAATTATTGGGGTGTCATATTTTACACGCATGTTTTATATTAACTTGCCCGTACTTGTCATATGCGTGCATCTTTAACGTCTGTCACGTGTGTCTATCTATTTTTACAATCTTATTGTACGTACAACCGTGGGAACACAACAAGCAGAATGCTGCGTGTGCTGGCGTCTGCAATGCCTGTCATCTATCGCTTCCGTCAGAGGAGCTCCCCAAGGAGTGAACAAGATGTGACAACGAGACTGGACTTGTACGCTTCACCATGAATTCACTTAAAAGAATGGAGAAACTTCACGTGTATGTAGGAAAATAACAAATTTTGATGTCTCATTTTGGTATTTTGTTGTAGCCATGACTGCGAAAACAGAGACACATAAGTGACTAACTATTTTTTCGCGTGTCATTTTCTGCGCTATTTGTTGCTCACTGCGCAGAAAAACAGGCGAAAAAATTATTAGGCCTGGCGGAAAATAAATTAAAAATGTTTGAACCGGGGATAAAAAGTTCATCTGATTAGACTATTTGAGTGCATTCGTCTGGCGAGGTGCAACTGTAAGGACTAACGGTTGCCCGGTAATGTGTAAATGTGAGGACTAAATGTTAGTCTTTAGGGGTGAATTGTGGGACTAGCGGTTACTCACTAAGGCGCAAATTTTGTGAGGAGTAAATGTTAGTCCTTTGGGTGAATTGTGGGACTAACGGTTGTTCACTAAGGTGTAAATGTGAGGACTAAATGTTAGTCTCGTGAGCTCGTCTATGGGGACTAACTGTGAGACCCGGTGCCGTTAGTCCTTAAAGGGATTAATGGTTGTGGCAGCCCCATTAGTCGCCAAAAGCATGAACCACACGCCCTTTTAACACCCTTTTGCGTTCGAGTGTATAGTGGTTTTGGGACGTTAAGCCCCACAAATCAATCTATAGGGCCCCTGACAGAACTACCCGTGAAGTCATTGAAGCCGATGAAATTGACAAAATGAAAGAAAATTGTGTGAGTGTGGCTTCCTTGGCTTTTGCAGCTAAAGAAAAAAGGTATCAAAAATCTACGCTTTGACGTTGGCGAGAGCAGATCGTCTCAATCGGTGATTGCGCGTGCATGAGCTGTAATGCATCGGAACATGTTGTTTTCGAGGTTTTATCGGTCTACTCTTATTGCATGAATAGCATGTGTGATCGCAATGTAAACATTATTTGCAAGTTAGCGCTGTGTGTGTGTTTGTGTGTCTCCCTTTTGGTTTCCTTGTCGTGGTGCGCTATATGAATGATGATGAGAGGATATGCTGTGATTTTTAGTGCGCATCACTATGCTTTCAAAGGAGCTGCGAAAAAAATCCAAGGTGGCAGTCAACTTACGATAGGACGTTGTTAACGTCTGATGAAAACCTCAGCACAAGTGAAACTGCTATGAAACTGAACACTGCGCATTGCAATGGTGCCAGCGCCTAAACAGGGCAAACTTAATTTAGGCTTCTCACACTGACCTCTCAATAAACAGTAAGCCCCAATACAAACTTCGCATCCAAGAAATGGATCTCTGAATGCTATATACAAACGCGCGCGGAAGCGTGGTAGTAGTTTGCCGACAGCTCCAAGAAGACACGACTGCCGCAGAAAATGCGCGTCTTACCGGTAACATACATTTTGAATTTCCGCTGTCACGTCATAGTCTATATTTAAAAAATGCGGCTGTTCACCATCGACACGCACATAGCACTCGCTCAAGGACATCGTGTTTGCCTTGCTTGGTCTTCCAAAGGTTATCAATGAATCGCTCGCGGTTGCAGCGAGAATAATACCGTGAAAAAGTTTTTGAAATTTTTTTAAACCTTTCGAGGTAATGACAGATGATGCTGCACGTGCAGGGTGACCAGACTATAGCACATGCAGAGCGCGTAAACGTGCTGGGAGAGCCCAGGCAGAAGGCGGGACCGGTTTTGCTAGAAAAGCGGCGAAGCGCGCGCTGTGCAGCACCTCCTGGCAAAGGTTGGGAGGGCTATGCTGGCTCCTCGTTTGTTGTTGCAACGTGGTTATCTCCGGCAACTCCTCTGCCTTCATGTAGGATGGTGCTGCTAGCTCAGCAGTTGCTAGGCAATGGCTCAGCTCGCTGTGTGGCTCATCTTCCATGCTTACAGTCTTATATTAATAATGAGCTTGTCGTTATTAAAGAAAAGCCTCTCGGTGCCACTGTCACTTGTTTCCCTCATCCCAGATCTGCAAATGAGACATAAAACCTGATACCAGGAATATCTATCAATGGTCCATGGACCGACACTGCACACTGGTTTGCGAGGTCTCAGGTTGGTCACAATTTGCGACGCTGGACTGGTGCTGGCGGCAGGGCTTTCCGTGTGTTGGCCGCCTTCGGCGGTGAGAATGCCGAGAGACGCCACCACTAAAAAGCAGCGGAAAAATTGCTGCAGGTGGTTCAGACTTTAGTCCACCTTCCCAGCTTCCCCTTTAGGCATGTGTACATACAAGATAAACCTAGTGAAGCGCTAAATGAGCAGTTTCCTGCATTTTACTTTTTTACTCGGACCTTTGCCATCTCTGTATTTGCAGAGGTATTTCTTGGTATCGTGTGCGCCAACACAAGATTTCTTATATGCATAGCCCTAAGACCGCTCAAAGGCGACATTCACCTTGCAATGATGAATACAATCGAAACCATACCTTGAGGGGTAACGTGAGTACGCTCTGTGGCTGATTATGCCATGATTATGAACCTTTTCTAATGGGTTGGCAGCATTTAAACACTTTCAAGCCATGTGACGCCTCGTGCAAATCTGCACTTATTCATCAGCACAAAAACACCTTCATTGACGCTCGCCCGGCATGGTCTTTTACCAAAGCTCGGTTATATTGAATGGCCCGCAAGTTCTGCACTCACCGGCCATACCGGTCTTCAGGAAGAAGCTTCCTGAATGTCGTCCCTTGAGGAAGCGGTAGTGCGGCAGCACGTGGTGCTCCTCTTCGTCCTCTTCGTCTTTGGTTGTCTCGGCCCACGGGTATTGTTCGTTGATCACGCACTCGGTAGTGAAAGAGAAACGGTCCGCCAGATCTTCGTACTCCTTCAATTTTTTCTTGATGCGTGCCAGGATATGGAGCTTGTAGCGTGTCAGGTCCACGTGCAGCACAACCAGCCACGCTATGCCCACAACGCACATCACAATGCCGTATACCTAAAGGAAGCAAAACAGGATCAGTTCACCGTGATAAGTGCCTAACGCGTGTTAAAGGGTCACTGAAGAGAAACAATTTTAGCTGTTTTAGATTGACAAAGTCAACTCTAAGAACTCAATTGCTATAAGTTTCACTGTCATAGGTTCATTATTAGCGGAGAAAATCAAGGTTGAAGCTTCATTTTCAGGCCCGTGTGCTCAGATTTGGGTGCACGTTAAAGAACCACAGGTGGTCGAAATTTCCGGAGCCCTCCACTACGGTGTCTCTCATAATCATATGGCGGTTTTGGGACGTTAAACCCCACATATAAATCAATCAATCAATGAAGCTTCATTTTCAAATTTCCACGCATGACGTAAACAATTCCACGATGTATTTCTCACATTTTCTCAACATTGGCTCAATGAAATGTTCTGAAACTTCGTATGACGTGCATTTTATTGCGATAACGATTATATGGACACTCTCAGCTGGTATTTGAAGCCCGCGTCAGCGTAGTTCACCGTAAATGTATACTTATCTATATATAGCTCAAGAAAGAAAAAGAAAGCCGCCTGCGCTCGCCGCCCAACTTGTCGCGATGCGCCGACGCGTGCTTATATCCTCCCCCCCCCCTTATTTTTTCTCGCTGACTGAGGGGGGGGGGGGTACATGCTTGTGAGCGCGCGCTTATTCTTCGCTGGGGATAATCGTGTGCTTCGAATTTCAACGGAACGATTGCCTTAGTTGCCAGGCCTACAAAGGTCACTTCGCTTGCCGCACACGCCCCGTTTACAAAAAGAGCGTGCTGTTCATACACAGCGAAGCATGACCCCTGGGACACTTGTTACTTTGCACTATCTGTACCTGTGATCGCGTTTAGTGCGGTGATTGTTTTTGTTTAAACAGCGCTCTAAGTGTCCAGCGGTAAACTTTGTTAGTTCGCTCTCGTCCTGTGTGTACTGTTTTCGTGCGTAATTTGTGTGTAAGCAGCGCACTGCACGTTTTTATCTGCTTGCTGTTCTCAGCGTCACATTCCGAGTTGTTGCTATCGCAATCATTTCTATCTATCTATCTATCTATCTATCTATCTATCTATCTATCTATCTATCTATCTATCTATCTATCTATCTATCTATCTATCTATCTATCTATCTATCTATCTATCTATCTATCTATCTATCCAGCCACCTAGGTCTGCTGCTTCATGATCAATTCCTTTACTTGGGGTACACCAAAAACGCGTGTTTTTTGTAGTGGGTGACCCACTTTCTATCTATCTATCTATCTATCTATCTATCTATCTATCTATCTATCTATCTATCTATCTATCTATCTATCTATCTATCTATCTATCTATCTATCTATCTATCTATCCAGCCACCTACGTCTGCTGCTTCATGATCAATTCCTTTACTTGGGGTACACCAAAAACGCGTGTTTTTTGTAGTGGGTGACCCACTTTCTATCTATCTATCTATCTATCTATCTATCTATCTATCTATCTATCTATCTATCTATCTATCTATCTATCTATCTATCTATCTATCTATCTATCCAGCCCCCTACGTCTGCTGCTTCATGATCAATTCCTTTACTTGGGGTATACCAAAAACGCGTGTGTTTTTTGTTGTGGGTGACCCACTTTAAACCATAAAGTCATGATAATCACATGTTCTGACTCCCGATCGCAATGTACGACGATAGTTATAGCGCGAGAACAAAACGACGACACAGAGACAAGATGTTCTCGCGCTATAACTATCGTCATGCCATGCCAACTAGCCCAAGCTGCCACACTTCTAAGTTACGCAATGTACGCTTGTACAGCGCATAATTAGTGCGATATTATGTGTGCGTTTGTAAAGCGTGCAAGATACTTTCACTGCGTTTCGTATCAGAGGAAGTTATTTTTACTGTGTTTTCAAGAAGACGCGGAACTCTGAGGCAGAACACCCACTTGCCACCTAAGTTACCAGGGCTCTATCCCAACTGGGACCTACATTTTTAAGATGCAAAACAGCTCTTTGACTAGCCTGTGTAACGCCGTCCATCCCTGTCTCTATACCAACGCGCCGCTCCCTGCTCCCTCGCCGCAGGTGTCCGTCTGTTCGTCAGTTTATGCGTCTGTTTGTGCGTCTGTCTGTGTGTCTCTCCATTAGTCTGTCTGTCTGTATGTGTGTCTGTCCGCCTATTTGTCAATCTATGCGTCTGTCTGTTCTTGTGTCTGTCTGTCTGCCTGTCTGTCTATATGTGCGTCTGACCATCCGTTTGTCAGTCTATGCCTCTGTTTGTCCGTCTGTCTGTTACTTTGTCTGCTAGTCTGTCTGTCTTTCTGTTTGTCTGTGTGCCTGTTTATATGTGTCTGTCTCTCCAGTTGTCAGTCTATGCGTCTGTCCGTCTGTTTGTCGGTCCTTGTGTCTGTCTGCCTGCCTGTCTGTCTGCCTGCCTGTCTGTCTGTCTGTCTGTCTGTCTGTCTGTCTGTTTCTATATGTGTGTCTGTCCATCCGTTTGTCAGTCTACATGTCGGTCTCTTCTTGTGTCTGTCTGTCTGTCTGTCTGTCTGTCTGTCTGTCTGTCTGTCTGTGTGTCTCTCCGTCCACCTATCTGTCCGTTTGTCTGTCTGTCTGTTTGTCTGTTTGTCCATCTGGCAGGAGCTTTGCCCCTAGAAAGTTGCAATGGTCAGCGAGGCCCAGAGACCAATCGCTTATTATTACGACAGGCGTGTGCACAATAGCAGAGAAAAGCGAAGAGAACGAGACGAGCGGATGTTGGCCGGGCACTGAAAATATGCCATCGTGTTGCAAGCCCAAGTTACTAAAACCTAAAACAACTGGTGCATCCCGCCCCCTTCACGTTCGCATGCGAGAGGACCATAGCCGTTCAGACGTCAACTTCAGCACAGGGCTTGCGGACTTCGGTGCTGACAGGCAAGCAGCAGCTGTCGGGCTACTGTTCCATCGAGAGGCCTGGCCAGGTTGTTCTGGTTTCTTGGCGCATCGCCCAAGCGCCAACGTTCCCTATCGTCACCAGCAAGCACGCGTCAATTCAAGAAATCATACTTCCGCTTCTTGGTGAGATTCAACTCGCAATGTACACCGCTGAGCTGCGTCAGGAAGATCCTTTGTATATTGCCACGTTCCATTTCTCAAGTTTTGTTATCACCCCAAAACACTACACAATTCTCAGCACGAAACGCGCGTGCAGTTTTCGAGAAGCTTCCGGACTTTAGTAGATCATTTCGATAAGATCACGCCCACTCTGCGAACTGTACAGATTATTCTGGAACCTATGCCACCGCCAGCGATAACGCTAGAACATTCGATGGCAAGAGTATAAATGCCGACGCACTTCGCTGCTTGTCAGTAGTTGATCGACGGCCGACGCTCCGTTCGCCGCTATCAGTCCAAGACTGCTACTGTAATCGGACTTTCCGTTTACCGGGCACAGGTGCGCCCAAATAAACAGTTAAATTCCAACGCAAAGTCTCCTGTCTTCGGCCACGTCACGACCCCGTGACATCTGGTGGAGGTGCTGCTTCGTTCATGTACCGGACGCCCCCGTCAAGCCGTGAACCGAGCCCACGTCGCAAGGAAGACGCCGATGCCAACCCAGAGCAGCGAACAAGCCGCCGACAGCAAGGTCTCCCACCGGAGTACGGGCTTCTACAAGACAAGGCGTGGAAGACCAAGGCCATGACCTCGACTGCAGCGACAGTGACAACCGGAGCGTCCCAGCCCACGATCGTCATTCATCAACCCAGGGAACCACCAACGTTCCATGGGTCATCGTTTGAAGACCCGGAAACCTGGCTAGAAACATACGACCGTGTGGCCACCCTCAAGCACTGGGACAACAAAGAAAAGCTTCGTCGTGTGTATTTCTACCTGAAAGACACCGCAAGGACCTGGCTAGAGAATCGGGAGTCCAAGCTCCGAGCGTGGGATGTCTTCTGCGGCGCATTTCTGCAAACGTTCGCGAGCATCGCTCGCAAAGAGAGGGCTGCTGCTCTACTAGAGACCCGGGTTTAGCTACCAAATGAAAAGGTTGGAATTTTCACAGAGGAGATGACCCGCCTATTCCGTCACGCTGACTCAGACATTTCTGAGGAGAAGAAAGTTCGTTTCCTCATGCGAGGGGTCAAACAGGTTTGTTATCGCCCCATAACACTACACAATTCTCAGCACAAAACGCGCGTGCAGTTTTCGAGAAGCTTCCGGACTTTAGTAGATCATTTCGATGAGATCACGCCCACTCTGCGAACTGTACAAATTATTGTGGAACCTATGCCACCGCCAGCGATAACGCTAGAATATTCGATGACAAGAGTATAAATGCCGACGCACTTCGCCCCTTGTCAGTAGTTGATCGACGGCCAACGCTCCGTTCGCCGCTATCAGTCAAAGACTGCTCTGTAATCGGAATTTCCGTTTACCGGGCACAGGTTCGCCCAAATAAACAGTTAAATTCCAGCGCAAAGTCTCCTGTCTTCGGCCACGTCACGACCCCGTGACAATATTAAGGTCTTGAGCTTTAGTTTTATTGTGATAACAATTATATGGACACTCTAGGCTGCCTTTCACCATGGGCATAGACGTCGGCGTCACTATCACTCACCGTATTTATATATATGAAAACGCAAGAAAGAAAAAAATTCAGAAAAAGACACCGGTGCCCAGGTTCAAACGTGGGACATCCAAGACGTGCGTGTGAGGGGTTAACCACTGAACCAATGAGGAGTACGCACTTCAACATCCAATTGGCAAGCCATTTATATTTGTGTTTTTTTTGTGTTGAAACCAACGAATATCTCTTTGATCATGCTCTCCTAAGTTCAGTCCTACAGAGTTTATCAAAAGCATAATTTAGAACTTCATCACAATACTAAAGGAACAGCTGCGTGCGTAGTGTAAAAAGTGTATGTGCAAAAGCAGTTTTATTTCACAACCAAAATATGTATATAGAGAGCTAGCAATGATGCAAATAATAATTGAACCATGTGAAAATTGTTCACAATCAC